CTAAAAATCCAGCTATCGCAGCAAATATTGATCTCTGACATCCTTCTTAGTTAAAACAGTACAGTGTTGTCTAAAAATTAAAGTTGTTGCATTATTTGACGTCTTAAAACACTACACCTTTGCACTGGACCTTTGGGGACAATTAGATCCCATTTGGATGAGCAGCTTTCAGCCAAATAAAAGCTTCTCGTCTGCAAAAAACTGTGTCCTCGTCAGGTGCCCTGATGCACTTTACCCCACTCCTGCTGGGCTGGATCTAATAACCACTTGACCTGCAGAGAGGTCACACAGAGAGGACGCACACAACTCTACAATGCCTGTCTGCTTTAATAAATGGGACCAAGAGGATCTCATGTTCCTTTCTTTCAGAGTAGATTGCACTGAGACAAAACAAAGGCTCTACCGTGCTTCTTATAGTTTGATTGATTTTTCATGTGTGGTTTATCTGGAGCACGTGGTGAAATGCTGCAGATGCTCACGCAGTTAGTTTACCTTCAGATATTGAGCCATGAATCGATATTTTTGGCATCTAAAAAATGCCTTCATTCAGCCTCGGGCCGAACTCGCTTTGAGTGGATTTTCTCACTTAAAATTCAGACAATGACAAACAACGATGGCTAAAATTTTAGATGCATCCATTGTCTGGCTTTTCAGATGATGTGTCGGAGTGATACGGATAAGGTGAAGAAAAAGATCAAATCGTATGACAATTTATACAAAACCGGATAAAAATGAAGTCAGGAGAAACGTGTCTGATTGTAAGAAAGTGTAGCGCCTCAGGCTGAACTTTGAGGAACTGTTATTGTGTGCAGAGCATTACAGTCTGATGGCTTTCCTTCTTTCAACAGAAAGGGTTGTGCAGAGTAAGAAGGATAGAAGCTCGGCCAATTTAAAGAAGACTGTGAAGAATTCAGCCACACAAAGACTAAGATATGGAGGGATTAAAACAGGAGTCCCACCTAAATTCACTTACCTTACAGTGGTGAAGGCTTTAATCTGAGCCGCCGACAGCTCTGGGTTTTGTTCAGAAAGGCCGATTGAGATGCCTTACTTATCTAAATTACTCTTCCTCATTTACCCCCAGGAAAATACATTAGCGCACACACAAGAAGCTCCCTGTTCAACAAACACAAAGAAGCTGCAGTCGGAGCAAACTGGTGGTCAACGTGTTCAGCTGAGGATCGTTTTAGACTCGAGACAAAGCCCAGAAACAAAGCCTGACATGTCAAACACAAGCCGAGCGTTTTAGATGAAAAGAAGAGAGAGGCCCTTTGAAGCCTCGCAGACGTTAAAGATGCAGGAGGAGGATCCAGAGCGATGCTGAGGAGGAGGGGGACTGAGTGAGAGACCTGATGCTACGACTCCATCATACAGAAATAAAAAGATTCCCTTTCATGGCTGGGAAATCTCATATCATAAAAGTTGGAGCAACGGGTTTTACAAGAAGCTAAACCCAGACGTGAGAGATTTTCAGAAGAGAAAAGACTCGGGTGATCTAAAACTGAGCAAAGGTGATAAATCCGATGACAACTTTAAAGCTTCTTTAAAAGTTTATAAAAAGCAGTTTCATCTGAGTACAGTTGCTTTAGATAAATTGAATTTGTTTTGAACAGGTCATCTGTATACAAGACACTAAATCACCTAGACGAAACATTAATATGTGATTTTCTACTTTTTTTTTTTTTTTTTGTCATCATGGCATCAAACAGGTCAGCATCCTTGTCCAATGTGTCCAATATGCCCATTGTGTCCACTCAGTCATTGCTTGTTTACTTTTCTGTAGTCTTGTTCAAAGTTTTTCAATGTTTCTTAGAATTGTGTGTTATGCTGATCTCTATTGGTTTGTAAATATCAGTGGTTCCCAACACTGGTCCTTGAGGAACACCGTCCTGCATGTTTCCCTGATTTGACTTGCCTCATTTGAATGAATGGGTGATTAACCGGCTTTTGCAGAACTTGAGGAAGTAATTAAATCCCTGAATGAGGTGTGTTGGAGCAGGAAACAACTGAAACATACAGGATGGTGTTCCTCAGGGACCATGGTTGGGAACCCAGGGGAGTGGTGATGCAAAGGTCAGAGAAAGCAAGCCTGTGATCGGTCACAGGTTTGAATCCCTGGACCAACAATAAAATATTTGGATGGGGAAGATGAAGCGCCAGCACCTTCTACCTCCCTCCTTTGTCCCACTCTGGGCCCTTAACCGTCCTAGCTGCTTCCAGGGTGCCTTGGGTGGCAGCCTTGGTGATCTGTGGATGCGTTAGAAAGGGCATCCGGTATGAAAACAATTGCCAGAACTTCACGTGGGTTCGCTTGATGTGGTGACCTCTGAAGAACGGAGCAGGAAGAAGAATTGAAGAATCATTCAGCTTTGTCATATGAAACTGACAGTGAAGCAGTTGTTTATTAAAAAGCATCTAAATGAATCACTAACATTTTTTTTTTTAAGTAGTGCTTTGAAGATGGAAGCAATCAAGTTAGAAATACAAAGAGCTACAAGAACTAAGATATTTATTTCTCATACTTATCCACAAAGCCCCAGGCACATTTAACCTCCTAAGACCCGAACTCTTGCATATGTGGATGCCAGGTCCTAGGAGGTTAAATAATAATATCTTAAAATGAACAACAAGCTCCAGGTTTGCTTTAGGATAGTCTCTTAGAAACCAGGTTCTGTGCAGGTCTTGTGTCCTCTGTTGCAAACTGTTTGTCTTGAGTTGTACATTTTTACATAAATTAGATTGTTTATCTTTGCAAAATGTTCATCTCCACGTTATCCAAGTCTCTTTTTGTTCTTTTGCAGCTCTGCCCTGCTTTAAGAGATGTTTTACTAAAACTCTGCTGCTAACTGAATCCCCAAAAGTCTGCAGCCCTTCGCGGCGAACAGCGTGAATGTTTCATGTTTTATTTTTAAAATCTATAAGAGACCTGAGGTTTTGTGGGGATTCTCGGGGATGCTCACCACAGAAGAATGAGGTTTCTGTCCCAACCATCTCCTCCTCCTCCAGGCTCCTCATCGTACCTTTTCATATTCTCAGCTGAGAGCGTTCTGCTTCATCCTTAAATCCTGGATTCACAGAAAACTCTTCCTGCACATTAAAAATTCAAAGCACACTCCGTCACTGATTATCGGACAGTTTCCACACAAAACGAATCCCGTCTTTGGTTGCGTGTAAGGATCTGCACTTCTGTAACTCTGCACAGCTTAAGTTTTTTTTTTTTTTAAGAAAGAACAAGTCTAAATTGAACATTTATGTTTCAATCTTGAAATTATTAATTTTTGTATCACTGTTTATAATGACAGGTGCATTGTTGTTGGTTTTCCTGCACACCAGGTCCTGGTTCGGTAATGATCTCACCTGCTTTAGATCCGGCCGATTGCTCCGTCTGTTTCTTCAGTGTTTTGTCACAGCTGTTTGATGTGTTCGTTCTGGTTTACAAGCAGCAGTTTTTGGTCCATCATGGATTAGTTTTTCTCTTTCAGCAGCAAAATTTAATCTGTCCTGTTAATGAGTGATGAGGCGTGCGGAGTTCAGAACCGTTCAACCCATCTTTCCCTGCTTTTAGATCCTTGATGTTCTCCACCCCCTCTGAGACACCAGTCATCTAAAAGTCCCCGCACCCTGACAACTTCTACACTGCTGGACCTTGGAGCTAAAGTGAAGATACAAAAGCAAACGCTTTACGAGAAAAGTTGCTAGACGATTGGAAAATTTAAGATTTACCTTGAAAAATTACTTGAGTGATTTCATTACTTTTGCTCTCTGGTTACGAGTGGTATTAAAAAGGAGCCAAAAGATTAAATGAGTAAAAATGAAAGAATAAAACTACTTTTTTTGGTGCTCATTTTGCTTTGATTTGACATTGAAAATAATTTTACTCCAAAACAACTTGACAATGTGTTGGAAAAACCAAAATCAACATATTTCCAGGCTGAGCTAAAGCCCCAGGTTTGATTATTATTAAATCAGGAGTGTCCTTGGTCCTCAAAGACTCTGCATGTCTCTCTTGTGCAACACACCTGCTTTGAGTGAATGGGTGATTAACAGGTTTCTGCAGAAAATAAAGAGGTAATTCAACCATTTATTCAGGTGGAGCAGGGAAATGGGGGCAAACATGTGGTCCTCAAAGACCAGGACTGGACACTCCCTTTAAAGATCCCAACACCCCTGCTACGAAGACACTTCAATAATTGGCACTAAAGGAACGCATGTTGCTCACTGCTTTTGTTGCCGGACTTTAAGATCATCTTGTGTTGAAAAGGATGTTGCGGTCAAACAGTGAAGTTTGTGTGAATTAGATAAAAATGATTGACCTGATTGACCATTATTGGATTTCTGGCTAATGCTGATTTGTAAACTGTAGCAGATCTCAAATCTCCCAATAGCTAATGAGTTGTGAACATACATCCAACAAATATTCTGAGTTTCACTCATCTGTGGATCTCGAGATATTTTGCTAACAAGCAGGGTTGACACAGTTGATGCCAAATTTTAAAGCAAAGCATAGCACTATGTTTAGTGCTCTGTGTTGGGGGTGATGCTTGGCTACACCAAAATTGATCAATCTCTGCACAAATAGCCGAGTTGTTGTTTTTCAGGTGGATTAGCTGTAACAGTCATTTTGAACAGGCATAGGTGCAGAATTCATCCAAAGATTATTATTTTTTTTTTTAGTTCCATCCACTGATTGTTGGATATTTTGCTAACAGGCGTGCATAACCAGTGTCCCCGTGCGGCAGGTGGCTGAGGTGGTTTTGTCATCCAAGTGTCTAAAGAAGGAATGGGTTAATGCGCTTTGACGCAGGTGGAGAGTCAGTCAGCGCTGATTCACTCAGAGAGCAGCAGCTCCGCTCCTGCTGCAGAAATCTTTGCAGTTTCTATCATTTCAGGAGGTGAGCAGCTCCTCTGATTCCTCTCTGAGCCCTCCCGGACATGCTGCCCCAGCCTGCCCGCTCCGTGGCACGGGACGCCGGGTAAATGACTTGACAAAGTCTCGGTGACGCGGACCGACAGCGGCTGCTGGGAGATGAGTGTGACCGGGAAGCAGCAGCCTGAGCTGATCCAGAGACCCGCCAGCCTCCCGGTTCCAACTTCGGCAAGTAAAACCTCCTTTTTTTTAAAACAGTTTGAAGTGCACAACTTAAACTACAGATCTGCGTGTCCTACAGCTAGAAGGTGCGTTAATGTGCACGGGCAGAAACGCGCGCAGCTTCAGAAGAGCCTTTCTCGGAGGGAGCGCCAGACTCTGTTTTAAAAAAACGCCTTTTTAGGTTTTCTTTGATGTAAACAACCATAAATCCTACATGTCTGAGATAAATGACTCTATTTCAAACAAATGCAGTTATCTGGACAATTCGGCATACATTTAGATCTTATTAAAGCAAAGTTACAACTTTTTGAACAAGTAAATCATACAATTTAAGAAAATAAAAATGCTGTTTGCATTTACATATCTTTTATAACGAGCCAAATTAACCCAATATCATTTAGCCTTTCTCCAAAAACTGAGTTTAATTGACGTTGATATATTTGTTGTGCATTTAATGCATGACAGTGGTCGGTAAGCATAAATTATTATTTTGTTTCTTTATATTTTATCCTTAGAATAAACTCCTTGTTTGTTTGGTCAGTTCCATTGTCGCATTGTGTTGCCTGTAGGATATGTAAAAACAGAACGATGGCCATAGTTTATTATTTTTCAATTTTTATGTCCATAAATATTAAGTGCTTTACATTTCAAAGTTAAAACTGTAAAAGCAGTGAAATAATTTGAAAAGCTAAAGTAAAACACAGGGACACAACAAAATAACTGCCAGCTTTATTAGATATCAAACTCTGACAAGGGTTTAATGTCTAAACACTTGGCGGTTTGTAAACTGTTGGTGTCAAACAGCTGTCTTAGCTTTGTACGTGATCTGAGTTTAGGGCATCTGAACAAGAAAACGAGTCGTCTGACCTTTTTTAAAATTCACTCTCCTCTTCCGTGTAAGAGAAAAGTCAACACGAACTATGAAATCTCATTTGTTCACGCAACCCGAGGGGACGACACGTTTCATACCCATCTGTGTAGATTTTTCATGTGGTGGTCACATGTATCCATGGATCTGTCCTGATGTTTTATGTAAAGTTTAGTCCCTGCTCGGCTTCTTATCCTCCTGGTTCGACAGGCAGTACCTCTGATTTTATCAGCCCCTGGAGTCCTGCTCAGCTGATGGTCTGCAATAATACCAAACCAGTTTACCTCCCAACATTTCCAGCCCTTGAGTGCTGACTAATGGGTCGAATTAAACCATAAAGTGACAAAACCCTCCCTCTACTAGTGACGTTTCAGGCTTTTCAGTGAGTCCTGATGGAAATTAAACTGCAAACCATTTATTAACTTCAAAAGTTTAAATCAAGTTATTCACCAGCACATTTTGTACCCTGATTTTAGGAGTAGGAGGATTCTTCCAGTTTGCATCTGAAGTGCATCTTTTTAAGGCTGCTGTGGGCCACTCAACATCAAACTGAGCTCAGCATCAAGTATTTAGGCTTGTTTTTGTAATGAACAGATGCAATGTTTCCGAGCGTGTGCCACTCACAGGTAAATTAGGACTAAAAAGACACACCTCTGGCACCATTAACTGTTATTAGATGCCTCCTAATGATCAAACGTGTTGGCAGTGATTAGTGTGAGCAGGTCGAGGCAGAAACCAGACTCAAACGGGCTCCGATGGTGTCTCGGCAGCCACAGTCGACTGTTTTCTTCCTGTCCAAACTCTAACTGTGGCTCCAGTACATGTATTGGTTTGAATTGTACGTCAGGCTGCGTTACCTCTGTGATGGACAGGCGTGTCTGCCCCCCTTCTTTTAACCACATGCTTGGAGAGAATGCATTCCTGGTTTTGCTGCAGCAGTAAATTTGTTTCAAGACTTGAAAAATGTACTCCGGTTTTGAGGCATTGCTGCTGCAGAGGCTGGAGATTTGGAGCTTGGTTGCACCATTGTTGTGCTTAAACTTTTAAAATCTTCATAGATATTAATGGGATTTTGGCAAAACAACTGAATGACTTCTTTAGAGATTTATGGCACTATTGAAATATCATCTTTCAAAGGTTAAACATGGAAAGTTGGACTTTGTGACTGAACTTACATTAAGAATTTGACATCACTAACTTGAGCTATCTAAACTTCCCAATATTTTTGTAAACTATTTTTTTCTGTTACACCTACAAATTGACAGCTTCTACAGTTTTTTCTTTAGAAGTGTGTGCAGTTTTATGTTTTTACCAAGTTTTCTTCCAATGGGACTTCTGGTTTTATGGAAATGCAGTTTTATTTTTGTAGTTTTTCCACTTTTAATGTGAAACACTAGTGGCATAAAAATGCACATGTGACCATCAGACATTTCAACAACTTGCATTTCAAGAAGTTGTTTAATTTTATATAACTGAGATTTACTGTTCTGTTTCTGCCTGCCTTTAATAAAGGACTCAGGGAGTGAGACACAGGTGTGTGGTTACCATAGTGACTAGGATAAGAGATCATACTATGAGAGATGATCTCTCCAGTTTTAGTTTCTCTCCATTGTCTCCCTGTCAAATTAGAATTGAATTCAAAATCTTACTTCTAACCTACAAAGCTCTCAACAACCTAGCTCCATCTTATATTACAGATCTTATTGTTCCATATTTTCTTAACAGAGCGCTTGACTCTCAGACTGCAGGCTTACTTGTGGTTCCTAGGGTTTCCAAAAGCAGAATGGGAGAAAGATCTTTCAGTTATCAGGCTCCTCTCTTGTGGAACCAACTTCCAGTTTCTGTCCATGAGGCTGACACATTGTCCAGTTTTAAGACTGGGATTAAGACTTTCCTTGTTGATAAATCCTATAGTTAGAGTTGGCTTGTTATGCTTCTGTAGGCTTAGACTACTAGAGGACAAATTGATCTAATTTCATAAAATTGTTACAAATGAATAATTTGCATTTGAAATTATTTCTCAACATGCGATTCTTGACCTGCCATTGTGTATCTGTTCCTTCTTCCTGTTCCTCTCAAACCCAGCCGGTCGAAGCAGATGGCTGCTTGTCCTGAGCCTGGTTCTGCTGGATGTTTCTTCCTCATGATGGAGTTTTTCCTTGCCACTGTTGCCTTCTTGCTCGCTCAAGATGAGTCTGCAATGACGTTAAACTCAAAGCAGTCTGCTCCTCAGAGAAATGTTAACTTTTTATGAATGTTTCTGTTCAGTGCCCTGAGATGACTTCTGTTGTGGCTTGGCACATACACTGAACTGAATTGACTTGAAATACTGACAGTAGATTTAACATTTTTTGGGGGATCTTGGTTCTCTTTATACTGCTGTATTACAAATTACACATTAAATTGTTCAATCTCAAATAATGGATTTTATATTGAAAATTGGCGGCATTTCATGCCGTAGCTTTTTGGCATCAATCAAAAAGTTTCCAGAAATTTTAAGGTAGTAATAGGTGAAAGCTGCAGTCTGTTCCATCTTTTTTTTATTTTTTTTATTCTGTGCCTGAAATTAGTTTTCCATCACACAACCTGCTAGAAAAAAATGAACTTTAGTATAAACTGAGTTTAGAATAGAATAGAAACAGCCTTTATTGTCCCACGGATTGGAAATTCAAGTGTAATAGCAGCAACAGATAAAGGGATAAAAAGATTTCACACAAATTCATAAATGTTAATTAACAATACAATATATTAAAAAAACATAAGATAAACAATATCAATAATAATGTTCAATATGTGTTGGAACATTTATAAGGACAGTTTATGGTCAACTATTTGCTGTACCCTTTTAGTGCTTTTGGTATAATTGTGGTACAATTATTAAATTTGAGTTACAGAGCTGGGGGGAAATGAAAGCTTTGTGTGTTTTTACATCAAGCAGCCATGTTCTCAGCACACAAATATGCTTCCACCAGTTGAGAGAATTTGTTTTGCACTATTGACTCAACAAAGCTCTCGATGACTGAATGGTTATTCAGCCTCCCAGGACTACGCTCACTGTTCAGGTGTATTGATTACTGCTCAACAGAACCTTTTAGAGAGGTAAAAGGTTGAAGAAAAATATGACTTAACAAAACATAAATTGAAAAGCTAGGCTTTAATTGTCCAGTATTTTCTGATGAATATGGCTTTTAATAAAAATAATAAAAAGAAACCGTTGCATGGACCC